AAATTAGGATTCCACTTGAAGAGCTGCCGATTGGCTTAAACAGAGCACAGTTTCCGCTGACACAGTTTCCGTGGCAATCTCCTTCGATTCCAGTGAACCTGTGCTAGGCTTTAGTCCAATGACATACCTTATGGATGAGCCGGTAAGTTTTCTGGCGTGTTAGTTTGAATATGATGATGTCCGTTATACGACGGACGAAAGCTTAGCACGCCTTCACCAGACTCGAAGAAGATTACCTTGGAAACAGCGGCAACAAGAAGGTTCCAGTAAAGCCAATCGACAGCTGGTCAAGAGGAATCCGCAGTCGTCTTCCGGTGGGAGCGAATTTCGAATCTCTTCACTAAACACTTCTACTCTAAATTTGAAATAAGCCCAACAATTGTGAAAAAATAGACACCTGGAAACCCAACTTTTCTTAGAATATACCCTATTTTTCCCTATTTTATACAATGGTCAAGTGTTCTTTTCAACAATATTCTCGGCATAATTCCATTGCATGCTCTTACCTCTTCCACTGCGTCCCAGGAAACGGAGGTCGCTGAACCTGGCCTCCTGATTGTGCATCACAGCCACCGCGTTCTTCAACTCGGCACACGGCCGCTCCTCGTTTCCTGCCAACAGGGCGACCTTGGTACCATTAGGAATGGGTTTCAGACTAACCACTCTGAAGGGCGTTGGCAGGGATTTGTTGGAGCGCCAATGCTTAGGCAACGAGCTGCACAGCAAATGGGGACTGCTGGTGACGACCAAGTCGCCGGTGTGCTCACGAAGAGCTCGGCGCAGAGTGAATTCGGCCAGCAAGATATCTGACATGGTGGAAACTTACAGGTCCTTCCTCAATGTTGGTGGCGTTTCCACCAGATGCCTCTGGGGGAAAGATGGAGTTGCGAAGACTTCGGAACAGCCGAAGTGAGCACTGTGAAAAACAGAGAAGGACAGATGGAATTTGTTTAAACACTTTTTAAAAATTTCCAAAAACTAAAGTAAATTAATTTTTATTGGCTCAATTTAACAGACATTTTTACAACAGATGTGAGTTGTCGTGAGGCTATGTCCCTCCTTTAATTGGAATTGGGGTTGGGTGACCTATAAAATTGTGCAGCCCGGGTTGAACTTATGATGGGAAACAGATGCGACCTCAGCAAGGTGGAGATGAGGTAGGTCCCAGAGAATAAATAAATTTCGGTGAGTCTTAACATCATCAAAGATACAGCATCTGGCAAACACGCAAGTGAGATTCCCAGTTAGATTCGTTATTTGTCAACCAGATTTACACTCTTCACTCTAACCAAGGTGTTGAAGTGATAAAAGGTTGGCTTTCTTGCGTTTAGCTTTTTACTAATTTACTATATATTTTTTGAATTAAGTATTGTTTTCGTGACTACCAGTAAATCAGTAATATGAGATGTATTTACCCAATTTCGTTTAA